TTCCCCTCGGTAAACATATTTTGTTGCGGACATCGTTTTTTTCACAATTCCAGTGATGAGGAATATATGGTAATCATCTCATCTTTCAACAGGTTGTTGCATTTCTTTGTGGGTATATTCACTACAAGAGTCAGTCGTCATCAAGTAAATGGATCCCGAACCTTCAGCCATGGAATATTAACATGTAAGTTGATACAAAGTAAACTTAGTCCTAATACCGTATCCTTGCTTAACACGACGACGACGTGCTGTTTCGGATGCAGGGATGAAAGCGAATGGTGGATTTTTCCTGTGGGACTGGTTTTATGTAAGCTTTTACAATCACCGCTCATAAATTGGTATATTGCGAATCTAGAGATCCAAGACCGTACATTGTATAGTAATGATTTTGACCAATTTTGGCAGTAATGAGAAACCACCCTGTCTAAAGAGATGCATACTTACACATTGACAAGGTTCTTTTGTTCAGTTCTTTATGCTGTCCGGTTTTGTATGTAATTTAGGAGTAACAAGTAGAAATAGAGAAACAAAGGAGAAAAGGAATTTAAAGAAAAATTGTTAGTGACAAGGTCAGCACTCATTTATGTAAGTTGTCAATCCTCCCCTTTATTTTTGGGAGCTCCAATGCTAATAACGAAGTTGTTTACTATTAGGTTGTAAGAGAATTCATTTTATATGTAATTTGGTGTTAAGATTATCATAGGGATCCAACTTTCCTCTTCTGTTGATGCTTTATTTTACAACCTATCAGTAGTTTGGTTAATAATTATATGCTTAAGAGTTGTGAAAACTAATTTATGGAAGATATTTAATTGAACGATATGTTTTTTTTATAACAAAGGATAAAAAATTAAGCACTAAGCAGTGCCATGGTCAGCTAAGTCTTCCAGCAGTAAAGCAGTCACCATCGTAGGGGGGGTCGAAGAACACCCGAGTATGTCATCGCCCATAACGGCTTTTGCTAGCAGGTCCGCAACTTTATTTGCTTCACGGGAAGTACCATAGAATTGTACTTCCCAATCTCTAATTGAATGATATGTTAATTGTATGTAAACTGATTATAAATGGTGCGTAGACAATTACAAATCATTAGTATATGCCCCCCATTTCCAGCCAGTGAACCATCAACCTTGTTTCCAATTTGTGTTGCAGAAGAATCTCTTTGACCTATATATGATTGTAAAACTAAAAACCAGTCAACTTAAAGTTAAAAATATTTATGAAATTGTTTAAATGAAATATATATGTCACATAACCTAAATAATAATCTTGTTTCGGCGGTTAATATAGTAAATAATAATCTTTATATAATTATAAAAATATTTATCGAATGCACGAACCAAATAACTTCCGTGATAACGGAATTGTTGTTGTTCCTTAAAGACCTAGGTTTGGGCATTATGAATGTCAAGGGTGTGAGCGTTCACCGTAAAGAGGTTAAGAGTGACAAAAAAACCCAATATATTAAGTTCGGTGAGTAAATTAAAAAGATTTAAAGTACAGTGAGTGAAATAGGAGCAAGAGTAAAGTTAAGTTTCCAAATTTATAATTTACCCTTGTTTAAATAAGAGATATATGTGACTGCCTGCCTATCCAACAACTAAAGCCCTAGTCTTCCAAATCCATATCATAGAAGGATATATTTATTAGAGATTTCAAAGTCGTGGGTGGGGGGTGTTTCGACCCAATACCAAACCCAGAAATTATTTTTGGCCCAATAGGATACAACGGGTGTTAATTTTACGAAATACGAAAAAAGCTATAGGTGAAACTCCTGACCTCAAGGTGACGAGTTTCATTGGATATATTATTTTTTATTCTAATTAAGTGAGTTTCACGTGGGTCATTATTTTAATTTATTTAATGGGATTCATAACGATTCACGTCGAGATGACAAGTCCTATAAGAATTTTTTTTTTTAAAAACTTTACAAAATTATTTATATAATTTTTGAAATAAAAAAATGGAGGTGACTAGCTCCGTCATATTAAATTTTAAAAAATAAATTAATTAAAAATGTAAATTAATAATTTTATTACAAAAAATAAATGAGTGTTTACAAACTAATACATACATAATAAAATTTATTTATTTTTTCGTAATTCTTGACGATGTTGAGGAGTGGTCGGATGATAATGACACGGGGCTCGTTGAGTACGTTGGAGTCATCTACCTTGATCGTCTTCGTCTTCATCTTTATCTTTGTTTGGTTGTTGAAGAAGAGGTGTACTAAACACACTTTGAGATCCACCTTCAAAATACGATGATGTGATACTTATGATATTTAACGTCATCATTGTCATCACTGAATCGACTTGGCTACCTTGTTGAGCATATATGATATGATCCAATTCACCCTCACCTCCATGTTTTGTCGAATATGCTTGAGTGTGTTGCATTGCATCCCATGAACCTCCAACCCAAATCGACTGAGTATCAGTTGAAGTATGATATGGATAATAAAAACCAAAACTAGCCTGAGAAGCAAAATAATAATCTTCAGATGCAAAAGTAGAAGAAGATGACGATGATTTCTTCGACTTCGCGAATCTGGCCTAGCGTTGTTCCTATTCTCCCCTCTGTTCCGGTGTCGTGAGATATGATTTTCCATTTGCTTTGTAATTTTGAAGATAGGGATAATGATCGAAATCTAGGTTGATAGGTGTAATATCGTAATGAACAGGATCAATAAGTGACGCTGATTCCATTGCTAAATGTAGTAAGCATGCTTTCTTGGCCAATTTTCGGTATGCTTACTACATCTTTTCCAAATTTTCGTATCAATTCTATGGAGTACGTCCATATCAAATATTTGCGTAGGAATCGGTCAATGAGACGCAAACTGTCAAACACTCTATCAGCGACATGCATCTCAATAATTACAAAATGTAATAAAGGCGTTACGACACACCATAACTCCTAAACATCAAGAAATTTTAGTGGTAGTAACCAGTAAATCTCTTCGTCATAATACGGAATCCAGGAAAACTATAAACATTACTTATAAAAGGTAGTATATAAAAAGTTAAACAATTTCAAAAAATAAAATAAAATAAAATAATTAATATTTACCCAATGTCGACTGACGATGTCAATCCTCATCCGTATATCTTTTTTAGCAACCGAAAACTTGATCTCAATTAGTTTATGACACCAACTAAAAAATATAAAAATAAAAAAGATTAAAAATAGATAAAAATATATTAAAGAATTAGTTAAAAATTACCTTGCAGCCAAAGGAAACTCAACCAGGGCTAACGAATTTGGCGTCAAAAACAGAAACTGGTATGAAGCCCAAGACTGTAGCAATAATAGGCAGCCTACAACATCAGCTTTTGTATCCCTCTCGACGATTTCAACAAAGGTCATAGAACAAAAAGTTCAAACTCGTCAAGCCCCAACTAGTATTACGACACTCAATAAAAGTATTTAATATAGGCAAATACCGAGTGTGCGCCAAATTATCAGATTTATCAGGTAATAATATCCCTGCAATCAGATAGAGAAGATACGTTCGGGATGCAAAAAATAACCTCCTCCTCGGTAGAATCGTCCTTGGTAGAATCGTCCGTTACTTGAAATTCAGACTCCAACTACGTCATCTGTATTCGATACTCATCTAAGACACCTCGGGTGGTGGCATCTTTCCCAAATTTTCGTAAACAATATTGATACGGTTGTAATCGTTTCGCCTCACGATGACGACACCATTCATGGGAACACCCATTTGGTAAGCGGGTCTTCCAAAGTAACCGTCGCTTCACCACTCGGGAAATGAAATGTGTGTGTCTTAGGTCTCCAACGTTCAATCAGAGTCAAAATCAACGTCGGGTTCACCTTAAAGCAACATAGAAATGTGGCTGGATATAGACCAGATTGCTGAAGATATATAATTATCCGCTGATGTTGATCTCTCAATGTCATTCCGCATTAACGAATGGCCTGTTCTTTTTCCAGAGGGAGTTCAAACGACGAAATATGAACATTATCGAGGCGTAACATTTCTTTCCAGGAAGACATTTTTGAGGAATTCTTCTAAAACTATACTTTTTTCTCAATTTTTTTGTAACAACGGATAGTAAAACTCCTAAACCCCAGACCCCTATTTATAACCCTAACTCCAACAACTATAAACAACTACCGTAAAGCCTCACTAACCGTTGTTGTTGCACGTTGCCTAATGGTTATAAACGACTAGTTTTTTTAAATTCAGAAGAGGTGACGAGTTTCATTATAAAATAAATTTTTTACGAGTCCCATTAAATAAATAAAAATAATGGTTCATGTGGAACCCACTCAATTGGGATTAATAAAATAATATATATAACGGAACTCATCACCTCAAAGTGACAAATTTCCCCTATAGTATTTACCATATTTCGCAAAATAAAACTCATTGTGCCTTATTGGTAGGTATGGGCATGGGACCCAAACCCAAGGGGTTCCGACCCGATCGGGTCAGGATTTTTTAAAAAAATTCGGGTTCAGGTTAGGTTTTTAAATACGATTTTCGGATCGAGTTTAGGGTAAAAAATACATGACCTGACCCAAAAATATAATTTTACCTTATATATTTAGGTATAATTACAATAATACCCTCTATATATTACTTTTTCAATTAAGTCACTGTTTTTATTGAATAAAAATAATATTTTTTATTATTTCGGGTTGGGTTCGGGTCGGGTGAAATCTTGTTTCATGCGAGTCGGATCTCAGGTGGAGGGGTCATTTTTCTCGGGTCTCGTCGGGTGCACCAAAAATTCGACCCAACTCGACCCATGCCCATCCCTATTTATTGGGCCCAATAAACTAATCGTTTGCCCTATTTGGGAAAAAAAGCTCGAAGTCGGAGTTAGTAACCCACTTTTTAGTTGTGTAGATCAGAATCCATCAAAGTTTGTAATGGTAACTCGGGCCTAATCAAGGCCCAAATACTCTCAACCTACCGATGGATAATTACATATGATTTTCAACAGATTCTCTGATCTTGATGAGAGAATTTTCCATACAAGAAAATGGAAGTTTCTTGTTTTGAGCGAAGATTCTTCTCTACGATTCTAGTCTCAAGTGTTTCTGGTTTCTAACCTTTAGCAAAAAGGAGGGAAAAGTGAAAGACAATAACATTAGAATTTAATAAAAAAAACTTCAATGGCGCCTACGCTGGCATTCGTTGTATAACAAACTGTTTTTGAAACTAGAAGGGCTTTAGGGTTTTCCAAATTATAAAAATTTAGGTTTTGTTGATCTCCAATCGTTTTCCCAGTTACCTCCACCAATTTTACAGGGGAAGTTTTTTTGAGTGTTTGATGGATCGTTTACGCCCAAGACAGAGACCGCTCTTCACTGGATTTACAAAAGCTGAGGTAATAAAAGCTATATTCTTTTCTTTTGAATGGCATTTGTCTATATGTATATTCCTGTTTCTTAGTTTCTTAACAAATGTGTATTTTTAAGTATAACTTTTGCTTAAATTCACAGTTTTTCCCCCTGAAGAATTTCACCAGGTTTCTATATTCATGCGATGTTATCGATAGTAGTTTTCATTACGAATGAATGGTTGAGTAATTTGACTCCAAAGTCCAAATTATGGGCCCTAGTTTATAGAACAATTGGTGGTATAGGTCCTATGGGATTTTACATATTTTTAGATTTCCCTGTATGAGAAACTTCATATGTCTTAATGTTTCCTGTGTTTCTGCTTCTGGTTACCTTGAATACGCTTCAATGTTTTTTTTTTCTTTAACATGGTGAAGTTAGAGCACTTGACTAGTTTCTGGTTGGCATATGTGATTTTTTTTTATTATTCCTTGCTTGATGTTTTGTGTAGGATCTTTATTGATTTGGCGTGGTAATAATATACACATTGTTTGAAAGTTGAATGTTTTTCATTCAGACCTTTTGCTATAAGCGAACAGATGCTATCATTATTCCGAGTTTCTGTATAACACTATAACTGTTGAGATGCCTCATGTTTGTGGTTTCTGAAAAGCTATTATGCTAAGATGGGATCATAAAACATATGGTTTTTTTCCATTTTGTTACCACTTTATGCACAGATTGAAAAGATGGAGAAGTTGTTCGTGGGATCAAGAGAGCTACTGCAAAGTAAAGAGTTCTGTCAAAAAATTGCAAGAAGTTTTAGGTTAGTTGAATTTCATGTATCTCTTCTTAGCCCCCCTCTCTTTTGTTCCCCTATTGTTTTGACCAAATGAATTTGGTCGCACTTAAATGTATGTTGTCTTTGTAGTTCATCCTCCGCTCGTGCTGGGAAGCCTATTGTTAAATGGACCGAGGTCTTTCTTTACTCTCTTTTCAGTTTCTGCTTTCTTTTTCTTATTATTTCTCCTGTTTTCATTTAATTTTGCTTATATTGTTTTTATATAGCAGTTTAGGAACTCCCGAATTATCCGTAATTTGATAATTGTTTCTCAGGTCCAAAACTGGTTTATTGCTAGACAGCAAGAAAGCACATTGAAAGTTCCGTCTGTGACAGATGGATCCAAAGCCGAGTCTGGAATCCCTCAAACTTACCCTCTAAACGATAGAGATCAATGTTATCAGATTCTTAAAGGTGTGTATCTTTTTGGGAGTTTGAAAATAACTGTTCAATTTGCTACTTTAAACTGCGGCCCATTTTGGAAATAGAAAAGCTCTACAATAATTGAGAATACAACCGCAGACTTTGTTTTTACATGTAATGTTATATATAGACTAGTTGTTCCCCGACCTTAGAATTTATTTTGATTGGCCTTGCCTGTGTAACCATCATAATTACACACACAAAAAAAGTGCGTCTTTGTCCTTCGAGAGGCAGGGTTGAGAATTGGGTAGCCTGCACCATGCTATTTCTTTTTTTGTTTTACTTGCGAAATAAAACTTCTATCGGTTTTGTGATTTAATACACGAGTTTGTTGTTTTTCTTATTCACTTTATGTTTCTATTCTACGGCTGTGGAAATCTTACAGGGTTTTGTGGTCATGTCTACTTTTGCTTTGTGATCTAGAAACCATTGACAAAAAAAAAAACTGGGAACCTTTATTACACAGCTGAAACATCCTTTCATGTTCTGTGGAAATGCATGTTCTCATTGCTAATTTTCTTAACGCCCACTCTAGGTTTGATTTCAAAAGTAGGAGAAAAGGTTCAGGATCTATCTGAACTAGAATTTGAGGCGAAGTCGTCAAAAGATGAAGCATGGTAAGCATATATTTCTGAATTGATTCGATAGCATAATTTTGTCCTTTCTATTGTGATTGTTATTTTTCTTTACGTATAAAGAAAACAAAATCTTGAATTGACATGCACTTGTAATGTGCAGGTATGATGTTGATACATTTCTCTCTCACCGGTATATCAGTCCCTGTGAAACTGTAAGTATCCAAATCATATTACCACATTCACTGTCTAGACTGATGCTCTCTTCAAACTTGTAATTTTCTATCATCTTGTTGAACCAGCAGAAAGTTGTTAAAAGGAGTTTAACGTTTTCTAATGACCGAGTATTTATTTTACAGCTCATTTGATAAAATATATTGTTTGTTAAAGGAAGTTCTTGTTAGATTTGCTGGATTTGGAGCTGAAGAGGATGAATGGGTTAACGTAAAAAGGGCAGTACGAGAGCGATCTATCCCATTTGAACATTCCGAATGTCATAAGGTGATAGTTAGAGATCTTGTATTAGCCTTGCAGGTGACTATATATTCCACTCATTGTTTTGAAATTTCTAAAATAGTCTTCCAACTCTTTGTTAGTTAATTCGGATTCCGTGGCTCTATTTTAGGAGAGAAGAAACCAATCAATCTACTATGATGCTCATATCTTAGAGATTGAAAGGAAAACACACGACATAAGAGGTTGCAGGTGTCAGTTTTTGATCCGATACGATCACGACGGCTATGAGGCAAGCTTATAAACCAATTGTAGAAAAAACGTAACCATTCCCTTCCGAGCTGGCAATACTGATCTTTCTACTTCCTACTTTATTTTTGCTAGGAGAGGGTTCGTTTGAGAAGACTGTGCCGAATACTAGGCCAACCAATCAGATAGTTCGCATGATTATTGCTTCTTCGATTACAGTGTTGCCCTTGTCCGGGTGGGTTGATATGAGTTGGTTTTCTGAACAAAAATGGGAATTGCAATCTAACACTTTGTGTAAGTCAAAGTTGTTGTTCATCCTATTAAATCCCATACACTAACAGTTTGTGTAGTTTAAAATTTGGTACGTAAAGCTTACTGATGTTCAATTACAAGCCACATCAAGTATCTGGTGTCGATCACAGAAGCATTGTTCAATTTATATTTAGGTCCTCATGGGGAAATTGCGAAAACCAATCATTGTTCTCTTCGCAAGCGACTCAACAAGTATTGTTGAAATCGTTTAGGTTTGAAAAATATATAGGTTTTGATAAAATATAATTGTTATCGGTTAGAATCAAGTAGGATCGAATATCTATAAAATTATTTTTTTAAAAAGTTTTTGAAGGTATTTTTAGAATAATTTTAGATGTTTGTGTTAAAAGCAGATAAAATCAAATAAAAAAAATAAGGTTTGATAACACGTGAGGAAGGATATAGTATCATTACCGTGCTAAAAAATATAAATATTAATTTTGCAATATTAAAATAAAAAATTACTTGTAAAATAAGTTGGGTGAAACGCCATGAAACAGTTCCAAAAAGCTCAAGAGCAGACCATATATGGCCATTCTGAGCTAAATCCTGCAACTTAGACAAGTTTGATACATGTAAGATATATTATTAGTCGATTCAAAAAATAAATAACACAAACATTAGATTTAATCAATACGATAGTATATAAGTATGAGCACATATCGACCGATCGTTAAACGCATCAATCGAAATAAAAAAGCAAAATGAACAAGCAATGAAGGATAAAGCAAATAATGAAAAAATGACCTTTGTAAGGAAAAATAGAAAACACAGGTTCTCCTAAATTCTAACGACTAGACAAGACTAGAGCTCAAGGAATCTCATATTGACATAATTGAATCCTGTAATAACCAAATCTTATGCACCAACCTTTCCTCATAAGCAAGCCCTTGGAAAATCTTCTGGTTCTTTTATCTCCCAACTCTGCATCTTGGTGAGAAGCAGTTGGATTTCATCGCCAACGTTCCCATTATATTAGACAAGACTAGGGCCACATCTTTAGGCATGACATGCTAAGCATCTTTGTCAGGGCCTATCTCGGAAAAAATATGGAATTACAATACCATTATTGCAGGCACTCACTGATACACGGGATTCAGCCTCCGTTGGTCTGCGATATGCACCAAACCCCAGATTTTTAGCCTGATGTTGGAGGTAGTTAGCCTGATGTTGGAGGTAGTGGGAGCTTAGATCTTGCAGATATATATATGTGTGTATATATATATATATATATATATACATACATACATTTATATGTATGTATACATGTATGAATGCATGCATGTGTGTGTGTGTGTGTGTGTGTGTGTGTGTGTGTGTGTGTGTGGTTATACATAAGTATATATGTAATTATGTATGATCAATGATGTGTGTGTATATATATATATATATAATTAAACATGAGTGACTAAAATAAAAGATTCTAAAATTAAGATTCACATTTAATAATTATGCACATTAAAGAAAGAAGAGAAAATTAAAAGTAATTAGAATGTATACTATATTAAATTGCATTGAATTAAAAATTCAAGAAGAGATTTACAATTAAACCATGACGAAAATGAAAGAAATCAAAAACCAAATTAAAAATAGAAAAATAGTTATTGTTAGAGGAGTGTGGACCTAGTTAACCCAAAAAATCTTATTGGACATCAATGGTAAGAGCCAACTTCTTAAATTTACCAAAAATTTAAAATGATGAATTTGGCACCAAAATTTTCCAATTTCATTCTTAAAAAAATCAAAATTTCCCACAAAAATTATATATATATATATATATATATATAAAGTTTCAATCTCAAATAAATTCATCTTATATATATATTTTAAACTTTTAAGTTAAATTATATTTAAATTATTAATTAATTATTACATGAAAAATAAAATTAAACTTATAAATATTTAAATTATTTTTATATAATCTGGTAAAATAATGTTTAATAAATAAATTATTTAATGATTATAATTAAGATTTATAATATAAAAATATAATATAGAAAGTAAATTTATTAATTTAATTATCATAACTAACAATTTGTTTTAACTTTTAAAAATTAATCATATTAATCATCATTAGTTTATTATAAATTCAAATTCTCACAACTTCATCAATTGTAACTTATAAGTTTGGTAAATATCAGATCAGGTCAATAACAAGTCTGATTATTTACAGGTTGAGTCAATTACAAGTTAGATTCATAACAGTTCAGGTTGATAACATGTCAGATAATATCAGTTATTTACCAGGTTAATCTCGAGTTCGAGTTCATATTAGTCGGATGCAAGTCAGGTTTATTTATCATATTATTAGTTCAATTCGTGTTCAGGTCATTTTTAGATCGGGTGTAGGTCGAGTTCAGATCCACAATTTTCAAGTCCAACTCGGGTTCAGATCAACACCAGTTCGGACTCGAATCAGTTTCGAATCACCACCACTCAAGTTACAAACAATTTTAACTCAAGTCGGTTTCAGTCATTTTATAGGTCATCTTTTTACATCCCTAGATTAGGCCTCCTCTTCTTTGAAGAAAAAAAATGCATAACATGTCATAACATCTCTATCGGGAATCCGTTAGACTTAAAAAATTTAATTTCAGGGAATGCGATGAAATTCAATTTTTAAAATAATTTGATTTTGGAGTCGCCACCAACCTTTAAGTTAGATAGGTTGGAAACCTTAAACGATAAAAAATGGTTTGCGCTTTACCAAAAATTCATTTTTAAGAGTTCGGGAGTCGATTACGTGTGAGGAATGGTGAGCACCCCCATAAAGCCCAAATTTTGGTACCTAAACGATTATATGTTGTTTAAATATAGGGAATTATAAACTTTGAAAATATATTTAAATTATGATCCTCCTATTTATTTAAATTTATTTAAATAAGTGTCAATTAAAAACAACTTAAAATAAGGGATGCAATGGATCAAAAAGATTAAATAACCCGAAAGATACTTTTATAGAATAAAAAAATATTATAATTTTTCTTATAACTAAAAATGCGTCATTTTGTACGAACAATCCTTAAAAATGCACTTCCTTTATAGCCAGGAGACTTTTTTCATAGATTCCCCTCACAAAATGACATTATTTCACATTTTTTTACAAAATAAAAAAAACTAAAACAAAATAAAAAATTAAAATAGGCGAAAAATAATCCAAAAATAAATAAACGTAAAGCGAAGAAAACTATTGAATAAAAACATTTGTGCGAAAAATCCTTGAAAAGATACCTTCCCTTGTAGTTGGGAGATATCTTCATAGATTTCACTCACAATGAAATTTTCCATTTACATGTTTTAGAAAACAATGATGATTTATATATAGAAAATAAGGTCTAAATATACTCTTAAATAAATGACCAAAATACAAACTTTCTAAACCAACTACCAAGATTAAAAATACCTTAAAAATACGAGAATAACTAAAAATTATACCCAAAGCACAATATATAAAGAGATGAATAAAATGAAACATTTACTAACATGATAAATTAAAATAGTAATAAAAGTATCTAATCTTACGTAGTAAATCATGACCAAATCACAAAAACAGAAACTTTAGAGGTACCATAATAATAATATAACAAATCAGGACTAATATACAAATATTATTTAATATGAATACTGAAACTGAAATAAAACTCAAAGTAGCATACATGACCGAAATAAAAAGATGTAAAATACAAGGCCTCCAACAGTAATTTAACCAAGAACACAAAAACAAATAAAAAGTGAATAAAACGCATTAAAACAAACATATAATACCTAAACTGATTAAAAATACATAGACTAAATTGATAATATACGCATAAATAGGTCATTTACGTAAATAGGGCAATAATAAAATGTAAAATAAATAGAGAGGCCAAAATAAAAAAAATACAAAGTTTCATTAAGTACCAAAATAACATATTGCAAACGAGGGAGAATCTAAAAAGTAATTAGCCTACAACAATTTAAAAGACACAGGTGAAATTACAAAATGTGAAGGACCGAAACTGATAATATCCCTTAAATCCCAACACTCGGTCTCCCCCTTTTCACCAAAACGTTGTCGTTTCGAACACCATATATATATATTTGATATCAAGGTCAAAATCAACCCTTTTCCCCATTTATTCCTTTTTTCATTCAACACCAGAGAGAGAGAATAAAATCTCTTTAACTTCCCCTCCCCTCCTTCACTCCACTGCCGTAGGGAGAAAGCCCCGGCCGCTGTGAAGCGATGACGAGGGTGTGGCTAATTGAACCCCTAATAAACCCTCAGTCTCTCCTCTCTCATCTCCTCTGTCTCTCTCTAAAACCAACCTAAAATCGAGCCTCCATCAAAACAAAATCTAAAAACAAAATCTTTACCTTAGGATAGGGTTTCCACAGTTCTAGAGATATCACTGACAGCCGAATCTCCCTCAAAGGTATTCTTTTTTCTCTCTCTTTAGTTCGAAAGCTTTCTCTTTTTTGTTATTATTTTTTTACCTGTTCTCGTTTGGTTTTTGTTCTTCAATTTTCCGCCATGTAAAATTGTAAACCCAAGGAGTGCTCTGTCTTTCAGCTTTTTTATTTACAAAGAAAAAATGGAGGAAAAATTGCTGGAACACAACAACAATTGCGCTTATTTCTTAGCCTCTCCCCTCACTTGCAAAAAAAATAGCTGACCCTATTCTCATATGTAATGGGGTGAGGGGGAGGTAAGGTAGTAGGCTGCCCCTAACGCCAGGTTGAGAGCAGCTTCCATGAAAGACCTCCGGCAGTCAGAATTATGAATTGCCCACCGTGGGACTCGATCTCACGACCACAAGGTTAAGAGCCTTGCGCTCTACCAACTGAGTTGGATGGGCAATTCTCTCCCCTCACTTGCAAGAAGGTATTTATTTTCTCTTTTGGGCTATCCGGAAGTAAGTTTTTCCTCTTTCGTACTTTCTCATTTTCAGCTCGCATTGTGTGTTTTTTGTTGAAATTTTTATGTTTTTGGAACTGCATGTCAATAATCTGGATATTCAGTGTTAGTTTTAAAC